TTTCACCTCCCTTTGTTCCCACAAAGCCAGGAAGCCTTTCCTTTCATCTGACCAAAGATAGCTGCCCTCTCCGGCCTCGCTTCCTATCAGCCTCGGCTCCGCTCTCTCCACAGACGGCCTCGCCGGGCTTGAGCTCTGTGCACACTTCCAAGGATGTTCCTTTCCTTCTAGCAGGAGGAGACAGTCGGGGGCTTCACCCCTTGTCTAGGAAGGTGGTCAGTGGGGAGCAGTGTGTGGTCTGTGGAGGGAGCGAGCAGGAAGTCTGGCCGAGTGCTTGACCTATCCTGCTGGAAATGGTCACTCTGGGAAGGACAACCAACAGCGCCCTCCCCGGGACCTTGTCTTTAGGGTGCTGACCCTAAGTGTCCAAAGCCCCTGTTTGACTGAGGGCAGTGTGGCTCTCCCTGTGGCCTGAGCCCATCTGTGCGCATTCCATTCCGTGCAGGCAGCCCCTCCTCAGTCCCCTCTTTAGTTAATTGAGGCCTTGCTGGCCTGGGTTTGTCATTGGGGGTAATTGCTGGCAGGCGACTGCAGTGGCACAGGCAGGCTTTTGTTGGGGGAAGGAGTTGTCAGGATTCGGGGGCTTTGGGTAGGGACAGGTCAGGATCATAGCCAGCTCTGTTTCAGTCACAACCTGTCCCTGGCTCATACTGGGAGGCAGCACTTCTGAGCAAGGGGGGCTTGTAGCCTTTCTGAGTAGGAAGAGACCCCTCATGTGGATGATGGGAGTTCAGGCCCAGAGATATCCTGGGACTTCTCTGCTCTGGGCCACAGAGGCACTTAGTGCAGAGGGAGAGGAGGTCCCGGTGTCTGGCACTGTCCCTGGCACATGCCACCACCTCCTGGCCGTCGTGTTGGAGTGCTTCACACAAGCCTATGGCGTCCTAGTTCTGACCGATATCCGTCTGGGAACTCACAGAGCTGGACTGGATTTCAGCGGTTTCACATTTGATGGCTTTGTGAATAGGTGACATGTCCACACGGAGTCCTGGTGATGCTATGAGCTAAGTGTTGGGCTACCAACTGCGAGGTCAGTGGTTCAAAGCACCAGCTGGTCC